TTTAGTCTTTAGTCTTTAGTCTTTAGTCTTTAGTCTTTAGTCTTTAGTCTTTAGTCTTTAGTCTTTAGTCTTTAGTCTTTAGTCTTTATAGGCTCTTATATAGGCTCTTATATAGGCTCACAGCAGTTGCTTACTCCCAGCATTGGGTCAATTTCACGAGGTATACCCAAACTTGCTCATAAAAGCAAGCAACTTTTTAGTGCAACGACGAATGCAAAATGCATAACAACAACAGGAATAGCACAAGCGTAAAAAGTAGCTGAAAAAATGTGTAAATGAAAATGGAGAAGGGCAAGAGGTAGGCAGGTAGCAGAAGGCGAAGAAGAAGCAGCAGCGGGAGACGCCAAAGTAAGAGCAAAAGCGAAAGCAAAAGCATAACAACCAAAGCAAATTGGCGCAGACTTGAAAAAATGCTTAACTAGCTCTACAGCTTGAACCGTATACAAATATACTAATATAAATGTGTGTATGTATGTGTGTATAGAGAGCTAAATTGTGCAGAGTGCAAAGTTCAGTGCAAATTGAAACAGGTCTGTGGGAATACAGGGTACAAGCCATAGGACACGCCGCCCTAGCACCGTTATGCAGCCAAGAAGAGTATGCGTGAGGCGTAATTTAAGGGTCCAAGGAGTAATAAACCTTACCTATGTATATACATACACCTAGCTAACTCAAACTACTTACGAGCATACCAGACCTTACACCTATCAATATGGACTTGATCGAAGGGATGTAGGAGGAGTCTTCAGTTAACATTATAGACCTTGCACCATCCCATACCCGTACAAATTAATTGGCTCATTAGCTTTATATTTACAAACAATATATCCTTTATATCTATATCTAATATATGCCTATATCATATAGCTCTTTTAGAACTTGTAATACCGACATTTTAGCTTGTCTTGCAAGAGAACTTCAGTAAGCTTCAAATAGATCCTTGTCAGGGTATTCAATTGCTCTTCATGCCAAATGACATACTTGGTTAGCTTCAGGTTGTCAAGTCAAGTCAAGTCAGGCAGCTAAATAAGTATACCCAATAGACCAAGCAGGGCTACGGTCGGGCTGGGTGACTGTACAGCTACCCGATTTTAATCGTGACACCTGCCCAGCTGTCCAGCTGTCCAGCTGGTCGACTGCTCGCTGGGCCAGTGACACGCGACGCCGGGCAGCATAATTAAAAGTTAAGTACCTGACCAGAGGGGGAGGAGAGACACATATACGGCAAGCGTATGTCAGAGAGAGAGAGGTAGTCGGAGCGATTCTCCCTAGACGCAGCTCAGCTCGCAGACAAAGCCAAAGGCGGGCTGCAGCGTGAGTAGCCCGTGCTAAAATGGTAACAGCTCGTCTACGTTGAAATAACATGCTGCACTTTTTAATGGGCAGCTGCAATAGGGTGGGCACAATTGGGGGCTATGGGGGTCTAGGGGTTGCTCAGCGGGAGAGTCACGCTAGCCAAGCTAAAATGCTTGCCTGTTAAATTTTTCACAAAAGAACTTAACGCAAATACGCTTTAATGAGTTGTCATTGGCGCACGTTGCCGTGGCGCAAATACCCTACAGACGGTGCTGGGGTATGCTCGACGGCTCGAGAGTCGATTGTGAGGAAAAGATAAGCAATGGAATATTGCAACAAGCCTTGAGTTGATATATGAAATATTCCACTCACTGAATCAGAGCTGGTTTCCGAGTAATCAAATGAAAACTACGAGCGGTACAAAGGGAGCTTGAGATATGCTCAGGAGTCAAATGAGAAGAGTATGCTAAATTTGGAAAATGTCAAATAAAACTAAGAAAATTTCCACTTGAGAGTATTGCAAGTTCACCCAGAAGATACCGAGCCACATTGAAGCGGAGCATAATTTAATCTCAAGTCTCTGAGACAATTTTTAAGTGCGTCAAGTGTCGTCGCAGATTGTCGATGGCCGTGTCTATAAACATGCCCATATACATATGTATGTATAGGTGTATATACATATTTAAAGTCTATCCATGTGTCTTTGAGGGGAGAGCCGGCTGACAGCGCTGTCAAAGTCCTTGAATGAGTTTGTTGAGGTCGTAACTGCATTAAATGCTAAACTACTTATGAGTGTCGGATGGAAAAGGCGAGCCGGAGACTGCGGCGAGGGCGGCAATCGACGTCGATGTGGAGCGGAGTACATTTACGTGGAACCTCTGCAACTTGTTGCTGCTTATTAAGTCTCTCACTGGCACTGGCCCCGCATTTAACTAGTTGAGTGGTGCGAAGAGTCGCACTCAATGCAATTCCGTTTCGTCTATAATCAAATAAAGGGGCGTACTGTAAGGAGTGGGAGGCTTTTATAGGAAATAAAAGGCAGGAAGGAACTTCAGGACGGAAGCAAGTTATACAAATTAGGCTAGATTTGCTTGTTGACAATTATTTAATTGTTTAGTGTTGTGCAACGTTGCTCATCAATCGATGTCTTGGGCTATCGATGTTTGCAGTGTTGGTAAATCCTAAAATGTAGTTGGCTTCATGCACAACTTTTGGCAATTGGCATTTGTCATCTAATCGACCGCACGTTCGGATTAACTTCTAGAATTAAAAATCTCTCAGCCGAAACTAAATCTTGAATAACGATTGCTAGCTTACTATATCAGTTTATCTTACGTATTTGTCGGCCCTCGGTTTTAGTTCAGTTCTGTTAATAGTGTTCAATTTTAGACTTGAAAGTTAAACAAAATAAAATAAACCACACACATTTTCAGTTTGGGGATCTGTGAGTTTTCTGGCCTTCGCTGACTGAGTAGCCCTTTGTCGAGCCGAGCCGAGCTGAGCTGTGCTGTGCTGTGTCATAACTGAGCATTCTGTGAATGTGTTCACTTCTCAATATATATTTTCTATATTTTTTATTGTGCTGTATTTTAGCAGTGGAGAGAAGAAATCGTCAAGTGCAGCCGTGGTCACGAGTGTATCAATCTGTTTGAATGGGAGATGGCTTTCGTGGCTACCAATGATAAGCATGGCAATGAGGTAATGCGAGTAGTTCTCTCTACGGAGCCGGGCAACAAAACAGTGGCTTCCTGTCAGAATGTGAGGATCAACTGCAGCTCCGTTGGAGTCCGGTCGTATACACAGTAAGTCATCTGAGCCTTGTAGATGTAGATGTGTGCTTCAAAATAGTTTTCGTACTGCAGCGCAGGGCGTTTCGATCATCGACATCGCTTCCATTACTTTGCGGACTCGGCGCACCGTATGCGGAGGACGGACCTTTATCTGCTGCACGGGCAGAAGGGCTACAAAGACGGAAAGAATGAGCAGGCACTGGGGAAGCATCAGCAGAAGCTAGAGAGGGGGGAACATTCAAAGAAGGAAAAGAAGCAAGGGGAGCAACTAGAGAAGCGGGCAGATGGGAACTTGATGCTGGATATGCCTTACCTAAATATGACCATGGGGCGCAAGGAGCAGAAGGAGAAGGCACAGCAGGTGACATTGAAGCCGAAACTGAAAGAGAAGGCGGTGCAGACGGAGCTGGAGAATAAGGCAGTCCAGTACGCGTTGAATAAGAAAGAGATGTCAGACCGGAAGAAGTTGCTGCTAGAGCAGATAGAGAATGCAGAACAGAACAATGTGGATAAGAAAAAGAAGTCAGAGCAGGAGACATTGCAGGTAGGGCAACAAGAGAAGCCCGAACAGAAGACAGAATATAAGACGTTACTGGTAGAGCAGGAAAAGTCTGAGCGTAAGACTTTGCAGGATAAGAGAGAGAATGCAAAACAGAAGATTTTCCAGGTAGATCAGACAATGAAACCAGAACGGAAGACAGAGCAGAGAGAGAACGCAGACCGGAAAATGTTGCCGGGTGATAGGAAAGAGAAGGCAGACCGAAATGCGCTACATGTAGAGCATATGACTTTACAGATAGAGCAAAAAGAAAAGTTTGAACGCAAGGTGGATACAAAAGAGAAAGCCGTACAGGTAGAGCAGAAAGATAAGCTAAGAAATACGCTGCTGGTAGAGCACAAAGAGAATGCAGAACAGAAGCCGGTGCTAGCGGAGGATAAGAATGATAAGACAGAACAAAAGAATTTGTCTGTAGAGCAGAAAGATAAGTCAGAGTATAAGACGCTACAGCTAAATCAGAAAGACAAGTCTGCACGGAAGACGCTCCAGGTGGATACAAAAGAGAAGGCAGTACAGGTAGAGCAGAAAGAAAACAGAAGGAAGACGCTGCTGGTAGAGCACAAAGAGAATACAGAACAGAAGCCGTTGCTAGTGGAGGATAAGAATGATAAGACAAAGCAGGGCGACTTTCCGGCAGAGCAGAAAAAGAAGTCAGAGGAAAACCCTCTACAGATAGAGAAGATTGACCGAAAGAATTTGTTGATAGAGCAGAAAGATAAGTCAGAGTATAAGACGCTACAGCTAGATCACAAAGACAAATCTGAACGCAAGACGCTCCAGGTGGATACAAAAGAGAAGGCAGTACAGGTAGAGCAGAAAGATAAGCTAAGAAAGACGCTGCTGGTAGAGCACAAAGAGAATGCAGAACAGAAGCCGGTGCTAGTGAAGTATAATAATGATAAGACAAAGCAAAGCGATTTGCCGGTAGAGCATAAAGAGAAGTCAGAAGAAAAGACGCTACAGTTAGAGAAGAAAGAGAAGGCAGAACGGAAGACATTGTTAGTGGATAAGACAAAGGCAACGCGGAAATCTTTTCAGGTAGAGCAGTTAGAGAAGGACACGTTGAAGTATTTTCTGTTAGAGCAGATAGAGAAGGCGGCGCAACAAACGCTGCAAGTAGATCGGACAGAGAAACCAGAGCCGAAGACGCTGCACGTTGAGAAGACAGACCGGAAAAATTTGTCGGTAGAGCAGAAAGAGAAATTAGCAGAAAAGAAGTTAAAGCTAGATCAGAAAGAAAAATTGGAACGCAAAACGCTCCAGGTGGATAAAAAAGAGAAGGCAGTACAGGTCGAGCAGAAAGATAAGCTAAGAAAGACGCTGCTGGTAGAGCACAAAGAGAGCGCAGAACAGAGACCGTTGCAAGTGGAAGATAAGAATGATAAGGCAGAACAGAACAATTCGCCGGTAGAGCACAAAGAGAATTCAGAGAAAAAGATGGCAAAGATAGAGAAGAAAGAGAAGGCAGAACGGAAGAATTTGTCGGTAGAGCATAAAGAGAAGTCAGAGTATAAGACGCTACAGATAGATCAGAAAGAAAAGCCTGAACGGAAGACGTTGCTGGTAGATAGAAGAGAGAAGGCACTACAGGTAGTGCAGAAAGATAAGCTAAGAAAGACGCTGCTGGTAGAGCACAAAGAGAGCGCAGAACAGAGACCGTTGCAAGTGGAAGATAAGAATGATAAGGCAGAACAGAACAATTCGCCGGTAGAGCACAAAGAGAATTCAGAGAAAAAGATGGCAAAGATAGAGAAGAAAGAGAAGGCAGAACGGAAGAATTTGTCGGTAGAGCATAAAGAGAAGTCAGAGTATAAGACGCTACAGCAAGATCAGAAAGAAAAGTGTGAGCCCAAGACGCTCCAGGTGGATAAAAAAGAGAAGGAACAAAACAATTTGCCAGTAGAGCAGAAAGAGAAGTCAGAGGATAAGACGCTACAAGTAGAGAAGAAAGGGAAGGCAGAACGCAAAATGTTCTTGGTAGATAAGAGTGTGAAGGCAACGTGGAAGTCTTTTCAGGTAGATCAGATAGAGAAGGCCACGTTGAAGTATTTTCTGTTAGAGCAGATAGAGAAGGCAGAGCGAAAAATGCTGCAAGTAGATCAGACAGAGAAACCAGAGCGGAAGACACTGCATGTAGAGAAGACATACCTGAAGAATTTGTTGGTAGAGCAGAAAGAAAAGTCAGAGTATAAGACGCTACAGCTAGATCAGAAAGAGAAGTCTCAACGAAGGACGTTGCTTGTGGATAATAAAGAGATCACAGAACAGAAGGGGAAAGAACAGAGACCGAAGGCTGAACGGACGACGTTGCAGGTAGAGCAGAAAGAGAGAGCTGAACATAAGATGATGGCGGTGGATAAGAAAGAGAAGGCAAACCAGAATTCTCCACAGGTAGAGCAGAAAGATAAGTCAGGGCACAATATGTTGCAGGCAGAGCAGAAAGAAAAGTCTGAACAGAAGATGTTGCTGGTGGATAAAAAAGAGAAGGTAGAACAGGAGGAGGTACAGCAGAAAGAGAAGCCAGAACAGAAGACCTTGCAGGCAGAGCAGAAAGAGAAGTCTAATAAGATGGTATTGCAGGTGAAACAAAAATTGAAGTCTAAGGAGCAGACAAAACGTCGATATCATAGTCAGTACTTGGAATGGTCGTACGAAGCGATTTCGCAGTCGGAGAAAACGTCACAGCTGAAACAGATCTCGCAGCCAATAAAATCGCAAACAGAGAGATCGAAGTATGAGATAAAACCTCTGCTAACAAATTGTCAGACGGAGAAACTAAAGCCAGAGAGCTTACATCTGGAATTCTTAAAAGAACAGACAATTCAAGTGATGCGTTCAGAGCCAGAGAAGTCACAGAAGGAGATGTGTCTTCAAGCAGACTTGCAGCCAAAGCGTGAGAAGCGAACCCAAGCGAAACACAAGGTACAGCTGCAAATGAACTCGAAGCTGACGGTGTTGGACTCGGACATTCCGCGCGCGCTCAAGACTAGGTCACATACAGAGCCGACTTTGAAGAATGTCAACGAATCACAGCGCAAAGCCAAGTCACAGAATAACTTGCCACTGGATCCGGATCAGAATCAGGAAACGAAGTCGTCTGGGACTTCATCGCATCACAGCCATGGAAGTCGAACTGTCGCTGAATTGGGGCAGTGGAACAGCGCTGAGATCGTAGCGCATAGCACGCTGCTCTCCATGCAGGAGCAGATGGCCAAGCGAGACAGCAATAATTCATCGCCCTTGTCGTCGCCCTTCCACGCCTGGCTGGCTGCCAAAAAGTAAGCTAGCTCTATCTACATCAATGAACGATTGGGTTTATCAATTCATTACATCTCATTTTGTTTTACTCCGCCTACGCAGGGAGAAGCAGGATCAGCTGAAAAGGGAGCGCCGTCTCTCAACAGAGCTGGAAGAGCAACGTGCTAAGGAGCGCACGCGTCTCGCCCAGCTGAACTATGAGCTTTGGATCAAGAATAAGAACTCTCAGCTGCGACGGGCCAAGTCGGATGTGAGCTCCGGTCAGCTGACAACCCATTCGCGTCAGTCGCTGCCAGCCTCCGAAGCGCAACGCCGTCTCATCGAATGGGAGCGCGAAAAGCTGGCCGAGCTCAGGGAGCAGCGGCTGAAGCGTGAGGCCTACATCGAACGGCAAAATCAACTCGAGACGGCGCGCCGCGAAATGAGCGCCGAGGCCTTTGAGCAATGGGTCCTGGCCTCTCGCAACAAGCCGAAGCCCGTGCCCATGGGCAAGGGCCTTGACTCGCTGCGCGGCACTACCGCGCCCCTCTTCACGAACCCCAACGAATGGAAATCGGTGCATGGGCCCATCGTCAAGAAGCCGCAGAATCCGCCGCCGCAGCCGCGTCCGAAGCGCCCGGGGCCCGACTACGAGCGTCTCGAGCGTCTGGCTCAGCCGCGACGCACGGTCTGCAAGCAGAGCCCCAATGTGCGGCCAGAGCCCCTGAAGCTGAGCAGCTCCCTGGACAGCTGCCTGTTGCGTCCGCAGCGCACGTCCATGATCTGGAACAAGGACAATGCACAGCGCGTGCGCGAAATGAAGCGGCACACATCGCCGGACGGGGCGCAGCTGGAGCTGCACGACGATCAAGTGGAGCAGCTGCGCCAGCAGCAGGACCAGCAGGACAGCAAGATTCTGCCGAAAAAGTTTCAGGACAAGCGCGAGAAGCTGCGCCTCCGGCTCAAGGACTGGCTCGCAGAGGGCAAGGCGCTGCCCGAGCGCAGCCGCAACAACAGCTGCACCGACATCAACTACGAGCTGAAGCAGGAGCAGAAGCATGAGCTCAAGCAGCAGCAGCGTCGCGCCGTTTTCGCCGAAGAGGCGGCCCTGGTGCAACGCCGTCGAGTCGTCTTCAATGAGACGCGCATTCTACGCTCCGACGAGCATCTGCTGTCGGCGGCCAACAAATCGAATAAGCCGCTGCAGCGAGCACGCAGCATCGAGCCCAGACATTTACTCAAGTCGAAGGAACCTCAGAAAGTGAAGCCATGGCGTTAGATTTCGGTTCAGGTTTGCTTAGAACGCCCTGAAGGCCCTTTCCTCCCCGCCTCCCTCACTCACGTCAATTCCCTATATCGTCAACATCCTCTCATTTCAATTTCTTTTTTTTTGTAAGTTTTTCAAAATATATTTTTTACTCGGGCCCAAAATCTGTTTGCTTTTTGAATTGGTTTTCTAATCAAATTATAGAAATATATTATAGGAAGAGGAGGAAATATAATCCTCACTTTCTTTTCAACTAGATTTGCCCGCAAGTAGCTCAGCTCTGCAGGGAAATTCCAGTCAGGTAGAGGCTTAGACCCGTAAGGCTTCCCAGTGGGCCGCTCACAGGAACCGCAGCCAGCTGCTGCAATTGCAGAGAATACCTTCCCATAAACAACTGTAAATGGAGTTCGATGCAATGTAATGCAGTTGATGCTGCTCCAATCACGCCGAGAGCTCTGATTGAGAACAGCAGCTCGGAATAATTACAGCCACTTGCGTGCAGATTACCTCAAGTTGGCTCGAAGACAAAGCGACAGCGACAGTTCGCAGTCGACAATCGAAATGATGTCAGTGGGCAGGATGGATTTGTGGGTGGGTGTTCGGTACAGGCAAATCGATACGGCTTAGGCTCTATACAAGCACTTGGCTCATTTGCATTACTACGGCCTCTCAGCTGGCTGGCTGGCTGGCTGGCTGGGAGGGCTAGCTCGTTGGTTGCAGAGGCCTGGTCGGCCAGTCGACAAAATGGAACGTTGGCGCAACAAAGTGGCCGTGGTTAGCGGCGCCAGCGCTGGCATTGGGGCTGCCTGTGCCCGCGCCTTGGCCGGTGCCGGTCTGGTGGTCGTTGGCCTGGCCCGGCGCCAGGAGCGCATCGAGAAGATGCGAGCAGAGCTGCCGCCAGCCGAGCAGCGGCGCCTGCATGCCCGACGCTGCGACATAACGCGCGAGTCCGAGGTGCTCGACGCGTTCGACTGGGCGCAGCGGGAGCTGGGCGGCGTGCATGTGCTGGTCAATAATGCGGGCATCATTGCCACCACGGAGCTCAGCGGGCCGGGCAATACCCAAGCGATACGCGACACCATCGAAACGAATCTAATGGGCAGTGTCTATTGCATCCGCGAGGCATTCCAAGCAATGCGACGACAGCAGCAGCAGCAGCAGCAGCAGGCGGAACAGCAGGAGCTGGCCGAGGGCCACGTGATCATTGTGAACAGCGTTGCGGGGCAGCAGGTGCCAAATCTGGGACCTCAAATGCCATCGCTAAACATTTATCCGGCGACCAAGTTTGCGCTGCGTGCCATGCAGGAGATCTACCGCCAGGAGTTTCAGCGCCATCAAACGCACGTCCGGGTCTCGGTGAGTGGGGTAAAGGCAGGCCAGGAATGTGTAATACCCAAACGCCCGCCTCGTGTCACAAAGCGTGAGCTATTCGAAATGCTGTTTGTCTCTTTAATTGGAAATCGGAAAATGTGAATCTCTGCCTCAGACGCACTCCATGTGAATATTTGCCGTACCGTGCGATATCTCATGCCTCTAGCCCAGCTTCATCTGGACTTAGTATCAGATGTGCCCGCCCCTCAATCCCATCTTTCGTTTAACTATCCATCGTCTATTTTATTCAAGCTTCCTGTGAAGCTCCCATCCGAATGACCTTTCAAAGGACCTGACATTCCACATTCCCTATCATCTTCTCTCGATTGTCCATTACAGCTTCGACTTGCCCTGTTCTTCGACCTCACCCTCCATCTCTATATATAAGTATATATCTTAGAGTCCCATCGCCTCAACTCTCTTGATTATCAATCCCTCCCTCAGCTAAGCTAGCCCTTAAAGATTTAGTCAAACATTGATGTACTCCTCCATCTTAATTGCTCACAATTTTATGCTTGATATCTGATTTCAGACCATTAGTCCCGGCATTGTCGACACGGACATCCTGCCCGAGCAGATACAGGGCGTCATCAAGCCACATATGCCGATGCTGCGCTCTGAGGATGTGGCCGACGCCGTACTCTGGACCATCTCAACTCCATCCAATGTGCAGGTGAGCATGAAATATTGTCTGCATCATATCTGTATATTACGTCCAATACGTTTTCCCTCAACAGGTACAAAACATTACCATCAAGCCGCAGGGTGAAAAATTTTAATTACAATTCGAATATTAAAGATAGATATATCGTCTAGCTAACCGAGATTGTACTGTTCTTTAGGGGGCTGTCAGTGTGCTCAGGGTTCTCATAGGGTTGGGCCCTGCTCACGCCTTCAATCATCAATCAAACTCTCACAGTGTGGCGCTCATTTGAATGTCTGTGGCCAGCCAGAGGCCCCGGGGACTTGAAACTTGATTGAAGCACATTGTACGCTGCCAGGCGCTTTGACCCAGAAGAAGATCAACAATTTCCACATCGATCAGGCACCAATTGTTACACACACACACACAAAAGTAGAACACGAAACAGTAGAGGAAAAACCCAAAATGGAAGGGAACAACAAAATCCCGTAAGGAGAGGAGAAATTTGCATTTTCTGTTTTACAAATGACGCAGGTGCTGTGGCTAAGGCTAAGGCTAAGGCTCGATGCAGGATGCGGAGCGTCGGACAAGCAGCTCATTGGATTGCCAAACAACGAGCCAAAACACACACGCACACACACTCTGGTGGCATAACGAGGGCCAGCCGAGAGGGGTCACTGCACAGGAACATTTCGAGCAGCTCAATTTTTGGCTAAAATGTGGGCTCGACCCTTCCTTTTAGCCAGCACTCAAATCAACAGCAGCAGCTGCGATTCCTACGACCAACTGTCTCTATCCACTCACACTTTCTATACCACACACACACTCTCTCTATCTCTCTCTCTCTCTATCTCTATCTCTGTCACACATCGATGCTGGCCTTACCTGTTACCTGGCTAAAAACAAAAGGGGGGGAAAAGAATTGCTCGAGCAATGTCTCACAATGAAAATGGATTAAAAGGATAAGTGGGCGGCAGAGCGTGTGGGCGTTGTCTTGTGGTTGAACTCCATAGAGCTCGACCGCCTCTACCTCCACCTCTCTACCGTTCGCTCCCCCTCGAGGCTTGCGGACTGCAGCTGCATTGTCGGCGCTGCTGACCAAGTCAGCCCCAAAGGCTCCCTCTCGATTGTCGGCCTAATTGAATTAACCTAAACAAAAACATTAAAAACTTCAATCTTAATTACTGTCACTGCACTGGGCCCAGTCCAGAGCATTTTAGGCCAGTCATATGCAGATTTAGCCTTACCTCTTTGAGCTTCAAAGCTGCATTAAGCAACTTTCAGGCAAGTAAATCTAGACAGGGGTCTTACTTATATGCAAAGCTTACCAGATAGTATTCAAGTAAGCTTAAGGATCCTGCTTAAAGCTCGATCAGCGCTGCACTATATGCCAAAAGCTTTTTGTCGCGAGCTTTTAGTGTGGGCGAATAAACACTTTCAAGCTGAAGAGTAAGAACTATTGAGTATAATAATCAGCATTAGATGAAAAGGGAATTTTTTTACGGCATATCTAATCTCTTAGCACAAAGCTTTATAAGCGCTGCACTATATATCAAAAGCTTTTGGCCGAAAGCTTTTAGTGTAAGCGAATAAACAATTTGAAGGAAACAATTGAGTATAATAATCAGCATTAAATGAAGAAGACTTTTTCAAGGCATATCTAAGCTTGTAGCAAAAAGCTTTTGGATTGAGCGCAAGTAGTAAAGTCTTGCTGAAAGCTCCACTAAATGTCAGCAGTACTGGCAGAGCTAACAGTCCAAGTTCTATTTACATAGAAATCCATATAAAGCGAGAGCTTTAATCAAAGCTAACTGCCTAATGCTTAGCTTCTAGCAGCTTTAAGCTGACTACAATGAATTCTTAGTTTAACTTTAAGCAGCTTTCAGCTTTCCGTTTAAAACAAAAGCGTTGATTGAGGGAATTCGATTTTATTTTATTGCCTTTGATTTGTGTGTGGCCTAAAGTTGACTAGCTTGAACTGTCTAGCTACGCGGGCAATTGTTGAGAAGCTTTTGGATTCAGCGAAAGCTATAGCGCGGCTACAGTTATGATTGGCTAGTGATGTCAAGGTTGGCTATGGGGTTGGAGCTTTAGCTTGAAGTCAGTTGGTTAGCTGAATCGCACGCAGCTTAAAGCTTTGGGGAAAAAGCTCTCTCGTTGCCCGCTCACTGCTTGCGCTGCGCTGACTGCTGCGCTGCGTGCTGCGCCGAGCTGATGGTCTCCAGACGGCGCCGCAGCGAGCGCTGCGCCGCGGACAGCGGCACGTGCAGATAGAACGAGGTGACTGGCTGCGCATGCTTGCGCTGCCGCGTCGCAGCAGCGACAGCAGCGGCAGCACCAGCGGCCGACACTCTCTGCTTGTCTCGCCGCGGCTGCTGCTGCTGCTGCTGCGACTGCATCAGCTGCTGCTGCCGGATCTGCTGCATGACCTGCAGCTGCGGCGGCGGCTTGGCCGTCTGTCGCGACATCCAGCGCTGCCAGGCGAGATGGCTGAGCTCCTCGCGCAGGCTCTGGTGCGCCTGGTCCTCCTGCTGGGCCTGCTCCTGCCGGTCGCGCCGCTGCCGCGCCTCCTGCTGCTTGCGCTGCCGCCACACCAGCAGCGACTGCTGGCTCTTCTTCTGCCGCTGCAGCGTCGCGATCTCCGCGGCCAGCGCCTCGTCGAAGCGCGACTCCTTCAGCATCAGCCGCTTCTTCTTCGCACTCAGCCACTCCGCGTAGCTCTTGTCGGCCATTTGCTGGCGCAGCTGCTTCGCCTGCTGCACCCGCTGCGCCTCGCGTCGGCTCTGGCGGCGGCGCAGCGACTCTTGACTCCTGCGGGAGAGAAGGAGGGCGGGGTGCGAGAAGATAAAAGAGAAAAAGTGGACGAGAAAGCGATGGAGAGAGGGAGAGTGAACATGACGAAGGGAAAGGGAACGAATGAAAGGAAAGGAAGAAGGAAAAGATAAGAAAGAAAGGATAGGAAAGAAAGGGAAAGAAGTAAGAAAGGGAAAGAGTTCACTCACATCTTTCAGAGGGAAGAAAGCGTGAGGAGCGAGAAGACAGAAAAGGGAAACGAAAGAATAGATAAAAGGGATAGAGGGATAGAATAGGGATAAAATGAAAAGAAATAAGATAGGGATAGAAATAAGAAATAAAGAAGAAACAGCAAAAGAGTGAAATGAAATGAAAAGAACAGCGAAGTTGGAAAAGGAAAAAGGAAAGAATAGATAAAAGGGATAGGGCGAAAAATGAAAATAAATGAAATGGATAGAGACAAGAAATGAACATGAGACAGAGAAGAAGTGAGAGAGTAAAGAAGAAAGGGAAAATGCGGGAGAATACTCTTTCGATTCCCTTTTATCGACTCACCTCTTGCGCAGCAGCCACTGCTCGAAGGTCAGGCGGCGCTGGCCGGGACGGGGGGGCGGCTGCCAGTGGGGCAGCCACGGCGAGGACTCCAGCAGCTGCTGCTGCCGCTGCTGCAGCTGCTCCAGCTGCGCCTGCCGCAGCTGGGCGGCTCGGCTCGTTGTGCTGGAGTCGTGCGCCTCCAGCCAGTAGCTGTCGCTGCCGCTGTTCTGCTGCAGCTCCAGCGGTGGCAACGGCGACGGCGACGGCGACGACGACGTTGCTGCGGCGTGTCGCGGTCGCGTCACTGCCTGCCGCGTCTGTCGCTCCGCCGAGCTGGAGCGGTTGCCTGCCAGCTGCCGTGGCGCAGACGTCGGCGTCTCCTGCAGCCGCAGTCGCAGCGTCGGATAGACCTTCTGCTGGCTAGTGGAACGAGGGCAGAGTTTTTGCTGCAGCTCAAACAGTTGGCTCTGGCCGCGGACTCACCTTTGGCCGCTGTTGTTGTTCAGGTGCGTCTGCCGTCCCACTTCACCTCCCGCTACGCGGCCGCCAAGTGCTGCCAACGGCTGCTCCTGCTGCTGCTGCTGCTGCTCCTGCTGCTGCTGCTGCTCAGTCGGCGCTGTTCGCTCGCTCTCCTCCACAGCCATTGCCAAAGCCCCTAAAGCAGATCAATTCAAGATTTAATTTTGAACTATTTTTCGAGTTTCTGAATTTAAAAGCACAAAATTTTCCACAATGTTTTTTGTTCGTATTCCCTTAAGCTCGTTTGCCTAGATGCTGGAGAAATCTGTGACAGTCAAGTCAAGGCAAACGGAGTGTGTGACAGAGAGAGCGAGAGAGAGAGACAGACAGAGTGTGACAGGGATAGCGATGCGATTCTGCGATTCTCTTAAAGTCAAGCAAGAGAGGAAGCAACTCTCTCTCTCTCTCTGTCTCTGTCTCTTGCCGAAAGTGGGCGCTGTTGTGGGCGTGGCTGGCTCAGCGGACTCAAGGGTCGCAATACTCTCGAGGGGCAGCCAGGTGAAGGTCGTGCGTAGCATTCATCAAGTATTTGCCGTTGTCGTTGTCAAATAGCAGCAACAACAACAACAACAATAAAACTTACCTTTCCCATTTGTGTTTTCCTTTCTGTCTTCCGCGCGTTCTTGTTGACTGAGCTGCAAACAATTTGTTACAGGTGCAGAGAGAGAGAGAGAGAGAGAGAGGTGGGGAGTGGGAGCGGGGGAGAGAGAGGTAGAGAAGTGGGTGAGCTGCAACTGCAACAACCGACAACAACAACAACAACAATAGCAATGCGAAATATTTCATTGCATTCAGTCAAAACGTCACAGCCACGCCCACCGCTGTCGCCCGTTCGCCCACAAATTGAGAGACAGGCGACATTTATTTGTATTATTTTAATTGCAGCTAAGCAGTGAAAGCTGCGGGCAGAGGCAGAGGCAGCGGCAGAGGCAGAGGCAGAGAACTGTTAAAAGTAGCGGTAAATGCAGAAGCAACGGTGAAAGCAGCGACGCCGGCAGAGGCAGCCATTTCGATGCAGTTTGGTGTGAAGCGAACGAGCAGGAGCAGGAGGAGCAGGAGCAGGAGCTGGAGGAGCAGGAGCAGGAGCAGCAGGAGTAGGAGGAGCAGGTGTGAAGCTTGCTAATACAAACAAAAGACGCTAGAGCGAGACAGAGCGAAGACGAAACGCAGATAGAGCAGTGAGAATGAGAGTGAGAGTGTGAAGGTTTGTGGGTGTGCGACAAGGACAGAGAATTGTTAAGTTGAGCAAAGCGAAAGTGAAATGCAGAGAGAGAGAGCGAAAGAGAGTTTTGCTAGTTTTTGGGGGCCACACTTGACATTTAACTGTTAAATTGTTAACTGGCAACTGACGCCGGCGTCGCAGCCAACGTCGCCGTCGCCGTCGCTGTCGCCGTCAGCGGCAACTGAATAATAATGACATTTTAATTAAATGAAAGCCCGAAGAGGCGTACCGCCCGTCCCGCCCGTCCGCCGCCTCCTGTCGACTGCTCCTGACAGACTCTGTTCGAGCTGAACTGAAATGCGAGACACGCCCCACCGCCCACCGCCCACCTAGCGAGTGCCAGGCCACATAATAAGCCATTCAAGCACGAAAGCTATTAGAAAAGCATTGCGAAATTATTATTAAAGCAAGTGCAGAAAGCTCAAGCAGTGGAGCGAGAGGTGAAGAATTTAGAGAAACGAATGACGATCTGGTGTGAGATCATATAAGTAGGTCATTCAGTGGGGTGAGAAGTGTTCATGGATAACAATGCGATAGTTCGAGCGAGCGAGGAAAACTCTCAGATGATTCTTTTTCACTATCATTATCAATTTCTGTATCTCTGTATATATCTCTCTCGCTCTTGCAGCCTCATTCAGGCTCTTTTACTCTTTCTATCCCTCTCCTTCTCTGTCTCTCTCACTCTCTTTCTCTCCCTCACTCTCTTTCTCTCCCTCACTCTCTTTCTCTCCCTCTCTCTAAATTTCACTACTCATGCCTATCACTCTCTCTGTCTCCCTCAGTGTCTTTCATTCTTCCTATCTTTCCAGCCCTCTCTCCTATTCTCCCATGATCTCTCTCTCTTTTTTCCCTCTCATTCTCTCTGTATTATATGTATATGTTTGTCTCTTTCTCCCTCTCTCTCTCTCTCTCTCTCTATCTATCGAGGAAAACTGTTGTTACTTTCTCATTATCCTTCTCTGCTTGAGTCTCTATCTTTCTCTCCCAGTCTCTCTGTCATCTGTCTCTCTTAGTCTCCCTGTCTCCCTTAGTCGCATTCCCACTTTTTTTGTCTGCCTCGGAAGCTATCTGTATCTCTCTGTCTTTCTCCCTCTGTCATTTTCTGTCTCTCTCAGTTTCTTTCACTCGTCCTCTCTCTCTCTTTCTCTCTCTCTCTCTCTCTGTTTCTCTCTATGTCTCTTTGGCACTCTCTTTCTGGCTTACTCTCGCCTTGTCTCACTTTCCCTTGCTCTCTCTTTCTGTCAGATATTTGCCTATTGACCCAATTCTCTGTATACACCCCATGTATATATCTATTTTCTATGATACCGGGTATACACGACTATTAGCCTAAATACTAAATTGCCTTTTCTGCAGCTTCAATCAAGTTTTCCTTCTCTCTTAGCAACTTTTCACTGAAAATACCCTACAAATGTGAATAGAGTGGGGTATGCACGACTGCCACTGGGCAAGGGTACATCCCATTCAATGCTACGCACAGCAGGCGCTTTACGGCGAGCAAGGCTTTTCCCGCAGCTGTCCAATTCCAGCCGCGCCTATATGCCCGCTCTGCCCGTGCGCTGCATAGGGTATACGACGATATGCGACGCGCATAAATTGCCAAATTGCAGTTGCCAGGTAAACGGTAGAAAAAGAAGAAGAAGAAGAAGAAATGTCGTCGTCGAGCAGGCGGCGAGAGGGTGAGAGGGCGACAAAAGGCGACACCCTGTGCCAAGTGACGCCCCCTTTCGGGCGGTGCACCCTGTGTGGAGCGAGTTGTAATTGAAAAAAATTGCGTTGCATACTTGTAGGCATGATTTATAACAACAACAACAACAACAACAACAACAACAGCAGCAGGGCTGAACATAATAAAAACTGTGGAGATAGTGAGAGTGAGAGAGTGAGAGAGAGAGGGCGAGAGAGGCAGCAGCAGCAAAAAAAATGTCACGCCAATTGCTGAGACAAACAATTTTGCTTATTGTTGTTGTTGTTGTTCCTGTTGTTGTTGTTGTTGTTGCTGCGTCAGCAACTTTTCGGTTGTTGCTGCTGCTGCTGCGGCTGCGGGTATTGGCAAATGCGTCGAAAGACAATAAACGTAACCACATGCATAAAAAGAAGGCCAAGCGCGAGGGGGGGGAGGGGAACTCAAACGAATGTGCAAAGAACAGCGACAAGTGAACGACTGCCAGATACCCTGTAAAGCAAGATGGAAGAAGAAAATCATAGAGACAGACAGACAAAAGAGAGAGAGAGGGTGGAGAGAGGGGGAAAGGGGCAGAGGGAGTAAGAGAGAGCAAGAGATAGATAGAGAGAGTGAGAGAGAGGGAGGAAAGAGGGGGAGAGGGAGTGGGGAAGAGCAAGAGATGGAGAGAGAGAGAGAGAGAGAGAGAGAATAAATACAAATATCTCGCGTTTTCGGCGCTTTAAGTCAGCTAAATCAAGAAAAGAATTTTAACCAGAAATTTGCATAGCTGATGGGAGTTTACGTTCCAAATTTTGGGTGTTTAACTGCTAAAGTTTTCGAGAAAAAGACTTTTTGAGATTTGTGTATATGAAAAAAAAAAATATACATAAAATACTTATGAAACAAATAGAAAATGAAAAGCTATGACAGCTCTTGAAATGTGCTAGGGAAATCATAGAGAGAGAGATAGAGAAAGAGAGAGAGAGAAAGAGAGAGAGAGAAAGAGAGAGAGAGAAAGAGAGAGAAAGAGAGATAGACAGAGAAAGAGAGAGAGAGAGAGTGAGATAAAGCAGTTGGCTGAGCTTTTATTTCTTCATATCATCATTCGATATTCCATATACCTGACATTCTTCCTTTTCTTTACTCGGCCATTCTCATGTTTCTTCATCCTCTTTTGCAGGCGTTTCTTCTGTTTCTTCATTTGCTTCTAGTTCCCCGAAACTCTCTTCTCCCTTAAGTTTTACGTGTGCTTTCGATTCTTTATAATCTGCTCCTTCTTTTCAGCTCAATCTTATTCATTTACATATTTTTCGTATTCCTTTTTCTAGTTTTTCCTTTTCTTCTTCTATTCCCCCCCTTACTTCCATTTCTTCTTCTTCGATCTCGTTTTCGTCCTCGTCTTCTTCCTCACCTTCTTCTCCCGTTTGTACCTGTTCAGCTTTCTCTTCATTACATTCTTCCTCGCTTTCTTTTCCCCCTTCTTTCGTTTCTTCTGCTTTTCCTTCATTTTCTCTCACTTCTTCTTCTTCCTCATCATCTCTTCTCTGCCTCTTTTAGCTCCAACCCATGCCTAGGCGTTACATACCCCTCCTCTCCAACCGATATACCCGCTTTCATCGCAGTGCCATTCCAGGTAAACTATAAAAATGAAGCAAAAGGTAAGGCCAAAGAGAAACGCAAATGGGAAATGCTGAAAGCAACAAACAGCGAAATTCTCATTCG